TTTTCACTGCATCACTTGAAATTAATAATTTTTATATGACGTTTATTTAGATTCTGGCTATAATAATGTCTTGATAATAAAAACCATTCCACCAATCAATGCTAATGTCAATTCGTCGACGGCCACCATAAGCATCACCTTCACTAGTAATATTGGTGGTATTGCTTTGTCAACTGGCAACATTACAATCTACAAAGCCTCTGATAACAGCATTAGGCAAAGAATTTCAGCAACAATGCTTGACTTCTGTAAAATCAGTCCAGATAGATTTACTGTTAGCGTAACAGTCATTAATAGCACATTTAACGAATATGATGAACAATATTTTGCGACGATGGATGATAATTTTGTTAAATCTTACGTTGATAATGCTCCTCTAAAAGGAATTCATGATGATATTTGGATTCTTAAATCAAGTAATCTTTTTAATGAATTTTTTAAATTTGTGTTGAAATTTTATTGTTCACTTTATCTTTTTCGACTTTTTGATTACTTAGATAATCGAAATATATACTCAGGTAGTGCGCATTTTGTTTATGTACATTTAATATTAATACACTTAGAGATTGGAACCAGTTTCATCAATTCGAGTTTATCACATAAATTTTGTGATATTCTAATTTATCATAATTTTACCCAATCAAAATTTGATAAAATTTTAAATTAATATGATAAACTCGAATTATTGAAACCGGTTCCAACCTCCAAATACACTCCACATAATTCTCATTATATTACATTGTAGATGAAACCACCAAAGCCATTATGGGCACAGTACGTCTCACTATAGATGCCTCCAGAAAGCTCTTATCACTTTCCGAATATAATCAATCAGCATATATTGATACTTTATTAAATGAACTTGCTTATAAAGTGCCAGTACATCGTTCTTGCTTAAGCTCAAATAGATATGAAGTGTATGGTGTTCAAATCGTTATTTCAATTCGTATAGATATGTCAAATTATGAAACCGAAAGGACTGCTTTAGAGGCATTTACAGATTTAAAGAATATGATTACTTACAAGAATATTACTACCTTCTCTTCCGGTGTCACTGATGATTTAGACCACGGTTACGGCTTTAAACCAATTGGTGAGTTAATTGTCTCGTTCAAAGAATGCTGGCTGAATAGTCGTATATCCTAATTTCCTTATTGTAGGGAATGCATGGAATGAATACAAAGTTCAAATAATTGTCGGGATTGCGAGTTATAAAATATTCTGTTTATCATTCCGTGTGCTGAGCTATAGGGTAAATTTATTTTATCATTATTCTTTTTAGAGCTTTTCATCGTAAAATATTTACAAAATTTTTGTTTAAAAGTTAAAATTGAAAAAATTAGAGGCAATAATTTCCGCAACATTAGGGATTGGATTAACCATTACTAATTTTATTCTTTCAATTTTCTTCGTTATTAAATATTCTAATGATTTACCGGAACTTTACTGGCCAAGGTACTTTTTACAAAATAAATTTGTTTCTATCATAAATTAAATTAATATTAATTATTATCACCATTCATCTTTTGATTCTTGCAAAAAAACACGATTTGAAGTGTACTCGCCCTGATTATTCCATTATTTATCAACATCTATATAACAATCTATACTATATATAGGGGAGTTAGAGACCCAGCCATTGGTGAAAATTTTAAAGATTGGATTAAGGAACATCAAGTTTTAGTAACTATGCTAATTATTTTGGTAGTATCTGATTATAAATATTTGTCAGTTTTAAAAGACATACCTATGTTTACTAAAAGATTATACCGATACGAGCAAATCAATAGATTTAATATACTTGAACATATATTTGAAGTTGCAATTGCATGGAGTGCAGTCTCTGATATATTTTTTAGAAATATTCCACAGATCATTATTCAAGTGAGTATATACATCGTTATGAGTTCTCCTCTATTTCAAATATTGTTTAATTAAGGAAATATATGAATATATATATATATTCAGTCAAAACATTAGTGTCTATATAATTATAAAAGATTTTAATTAGCTTCATTAACTCAATTTTCTATTCGAATAATTTATTTCTAAAATATTATTTAAATAGATTATTTATTATAATTACTGTCGCGTTATGGAATATAATATTGCACCACTCCTTTTGCTTTTTACATCTTGTCTTAAGATTTTCATGATCATCTTTAATTATATGTACAAAATAATATTCTTGATTATTATCCGGTGAGTATAACAGTCATATTTATTTTTATTCTTAATAATAGAAATATTCTTCTGATCAAATGAGTTCATTAGGAGGTTAGTGTAAAACTATATTACATTAATTTATAATAATATCATCACGTATTATCTTATAATAATGTCTTATTATTATCACTCTCAATAAAGAAAGTAAGTATTTAGGTTCATATGAAACAATTATTTAATAACTGATAAGGAATCAACTATTAAATATACTTTCCAACACATCCATACTGTAAATATTATCAGTTTGTAGGTATAAATTTTCATTCATTGAATAATTGCCTTAATGAACACTCATCATTTAATCTTACTCTTTAATTGTGCTAAATAATAGTAAGTAAGTAGGAAAGTCCATTGACATTGGTTTATAAAGTTTATAAAGTTCATAAACATTACTATTAATTTTTGACATTATTAATCGATCGAATCAAAGGTAAATATGCTACTGACATATTTGATCCTTTTGTTAAGTATAATAAAAGAAATTAAAATAATTCAATCATTTATATTTTGTATGAAAGATATAATTTTTATGGAAAATGCACAAAATGTAAGCGACTTTATATTTCTCCAACCTGGTGCCAATTATGCGACCCTCTAGAAGCAACTAAAGGATGGACAAGTGGACATCAAAAAATTGATGATTATATCAAAGGATTACAAATCAAAGTTACTGAATATGAAAAAATGATTGAATGGATCCCATTTGATAGACTGGTAAATCTACAAAAAATTAAAGATGATGATTCAGAAATAACATTTATGGCTACTTGGCTAGATGGTATAAGAATAATTAATGGTGAACTTACAAAATATACAATAAAATATACACAGTCGCGTATTAAATCGTGCGGTGTTAACCTTAAGGTCTTGTGTGATTCTCAAACATGCGACATTTTTATAGAAGTAAGTCAATTTTATTATTTCATTATTCTCAGCTTATCGCAACGCTTTTAACATTTAAAACCATCAATACTATCAACAGCTAACAAATTATATGCAGTCAGAAGGAAATATTTTATATGGAATTACTCAAAATACAGTAACAAAACAATATATCATGGTAATACCAGATGAGTTTAACTCTATAAGAAACGATTCAAATGGAAAATGTATGTACTGTAAACATTATAATACTTCCCCTGCTTGGTGTCAATCCTGTGATCCTTGGAAAACAACTCGAGAATGGGCACGTGGAAATGGAGAGATTGATAATTTAATTAAAGAATTTCAACTCAAAACCACAGAATATGAAAAAGTGATTGAATGGATTCCATTTGATAAACTAATTAATTTACAAGAAATTAATGAAGAATCAGATATTGTATCCATAGCAACATGGGTAAAGGGTATACGAAAAATTATAGGTGAATCTGGAAAATATATACAGTCGCGCACTATATCATCCGTTGATCTTATGAAACTTGATTGTTCTCAAACAAGTACTTTGGATCTTTCAGTAAATGTAAGTTAAAGTTATTTATTCTATAGATTGTTACTTACTACTTGAAATATAAGTTATATACTGCTTAACTAATTAACACATCTGTGTTATAAGTTCAAAATTCATATGCAATCAGGGAAATATAGAATACATGGAATAACTCAAAATACAGAAACCGGTCAATATATGATTGTAGTTGATTTTTATAGTAACCAAAGAAAGTCCGTTAATGGAAGCTGTGAATATTGTAAACGATACAACACCAATACAGTCTGGTGTCAATTATGTGATCCTCCAAAAGTGGCCCAAAAAACAACAAGTGGAGATAAAAATATTAATGATTGCATTAAGGAATTTCAACTTAAAGCTACAGCATTTGAAAAAGTGATTGAATGGATTCCATTTGATAGACTAGGACAAATTAAAGTTATTGGAAAAGGAGGGTTTGGTACAGTATATTCATCAATTTGGTTAGATGGTAAACGAATGGTCGAAGGTGATGATGAATTAGGCTATGTACGATTTCGTAAAAAGTCCTGTATAGTTGCTCTCAAAACATTGCCTGGTTCTCAAACAAGTTCTTCCGATTTTTTAAATGAGGTAAGCTAAAATTATTTGTTTAATTATAAATTTACTAAATATAATTTTACAAGATTTTGTTAATATCAATACATTTCTCAAGTTTAAAAACCATATGCAATGTAGATTAGAGGGTAGTGAACTTGAAGTATACGGATTGACTCAGAACACGGAGACCGGACAATATATGATGGTATATCAATTTGCCAATAGAGGGAATCTTCATGATTTTTTAACTAATTATTTTAGAGAACTTGTATGGCAAAAAAAATTAAAGCAACTTGTGGACATATCTTATAATTTATCACGAATTCATAGAACTGGACTAATTCATAGTGACTTTCACAGTGGTAATATTTTACTAAACCAAAATGTTGACGGGAACATAATTTCATATATTACAGATCTAGGATTATCTAGAAAACAAGATGAATATGATTCAAAAGAAGGTATTTATGGAGTTATGCCATATGTTGCACCAGAAATTCTTATGGGTCAGAAACATACACAAGAGGCAGATATTTATAGTTTAGGAGTTATTATGACAGAAATATCAACAGGAAAAAGACCTTATTATAAGTTTAAACCTGATAATGAACTTGCATTAGCTATTTGCAATGGATTACGCCCAGAATTTGCTGGCGGAACTCCTGATTACTACATTGAATTAGCTAATCAATGCATGGATTCAAATCCACAAAATCGACCTACTGCTGAATATGCTTACTTAAAAATTAATCAATGGAAAACAATTATGGAATCAGAAAATTTAACAGATGAAGAGGAACTTGATATAAAAAAGAAATTTATTGATGCTGATTGTATAATCAGAAGAACGTTATTAAAATCCTTATCAACGCATCAAAATAAATATTATAGTACATTAATTGATGTACAAGGAATAATAAAAAGTCTTAAAGGTACTAACACGGTTAAATTATATAATTTGCAATTAGTACTTTGCAGATAAGAATTAATTTATTGGATTGTTTTATTACCCATAGTATCTACTCAATTTAGTTGTTCTACTTCGAAGCAGTTTGCAAGTTCAACTTTTGAAGTCCCGTCTAATATTATCGAATTATCAAGTTAGTATATATAATTTAATTATTCGATTTTTTCAAGATCTTTCTGCTAATAATATTCTTTTTAAAAAAAAGTTAATGAATTTCAAAAGAATTAATACTTTAAGATTGCTTCGTATTATTTTTTATTCCTGTTACTTTAAAGTTTGCATTATAAACTTTTTTTACAGTATTAAATTACTTTTAAATTTTAAATAAATACTATAATCCAAACTATTGTTAAAAATATAAATATCTCTTAGCCCTCTATCATGATAACTATTTACTTATCCTTCTAATATTAATGTGCGGAAAGGTAGAGTATATTAAAATTTTTACTCATATATGTTGAAGTGCGCCATATTTGAGGTCGTCTAAAGCCTGGCACCTTACAAAATTATTCGATGACTTTAACAAATAAGATCACGAAATTTTGATCAGAATTCCGAATCAGATGCGGATTATTCAATCGGGGTTTCCTGCTGCAGATTATTTCTAATTAAAATCCTTTCCAAAATTTTGAATTTTTTTAAACAAGATTTCTCAATAATTATTCAACCAATCAAGTTCAGTAAAAAATTTTTATTTTTTTCTATAATTTGTAAAATTAAAATAAAAATAAATTTTATTAAAATTGGTTTTAGTGTTAATCAAGAAACTTGTAATAAAAAAAAAAAAAAAATTAAAATATCTTGAAAAATAAATTAGATAAAATTTTTTATAAATGATGGTTTCTCTACAACCATCTATTCAAATTTGATGAAATTTTTTACTTTAATTTTGTAATTGTAGAATTAAAACTTAAATTTATCAAGTTTTTTTTTCGATTTTAACCGGGGGAATAACCCAGACGCCTGTGGCGTACTTTAATTTATCAAGTTTAAATAGATTGTTATTGATAAATATTATTAAAGGCTAAATTTAGTCATAGCTTCTTTTTTACAAAAATTTAAATATTGAATGAAGATTACCGTATAAGCGCGATAATTCGAATCACTATGCTAATTTTTGAAAAATAATTTCAGCCCCGGATTGGAATTTTCCCGATTCAGAATCAGGACAGTCCTGGATGAGAATATTGTAATTTTTGTTCAAATTATACCACAAAAATAAAATTTTTATATTATAAACCTAAACCTAAACCTAACACCAACCCTAACCCTAACCCTAACCCTAAAATCCAAATTTTTGCAAAAATAGTTTACAAAATTTCATTTGGTGCGGCCCGATTCTGAATCGGGATAATTACAATCTGGGTATGACATATAAAACCCTTTTAAATTTCCGAATATTTCTAAATTTCCTGGTAATAATTTTTTGGCATAAAATTATAACTAGGAAAAAATCAGGTTCTTATTACGAAATTTTAAAAATAATAATCTGAACAAAATCTGAATATGATTTTTAATTTTTTTTATAGGGATTAAGCTATGTCTTGAACATAAAATGACATAAAATGCGAAGTTTTATAGCTAACTTAGCATGAAAGCCGTCTTTTGGAATAGCCCAGAACTTTCCCCAATTTTTTTCTCGTAATTTGTGTTGATTGTTTTCTATTCGGAACTTTTCAGAACAGCACTTAGGGCCAATTATGCGATAATTACTTAATAATGCCATATTTTATGCAACATTATTATGCGGCAAATTTAACATGTTATGCGTTGTCGACTATATTATGCGGTTTATGCGGTTTTATGTGAATTACATAAAATCACCGTCCCTATCCCGGACTGTATTGACATGCCAAGAACCTCACGAATCTCTTGGCATAAAATAATACGCCAAAAAACCAAGAGTTATACTGTATGTACAGTATGTAATAGAACTTTCTATTGTACATATTATTGGTATATTTCATATTTCTATGCCAAGAAAATAATCACCGTCCCTATCCCGGACTGTATTGACATGCCAAGAACCTCACAAATCTCTTGGCATAAATAATACGCCAAAAAACCAAGAGTTATACTGTATGTACAGTATGTAATAGAACTTTCTATTGTACATATTATTGG